CCCCCAAAGCCCCAGTAGATAGTTGTATGTCATAGGTTCACATCCTTCTAGTTGCTGTACGCGGGACTCGGCCTCGCGCTGGACGGAGAAGCGGTGCCTTGGGGCGTGCCCGGGATCCGAACCCGGGCCGCCAGCATCAGAGCGCGCACACTTAACCGCTAAGCCACGGAGCCGGCCCATAATCTGATGCTCTTAAATGGCATTATTTTCCATTCCATAGCCAGGTAGGTAGAGCCATGTGACAGACATCCCCACCAAATCACATGGAATTTTTCCAAAGGGAGAAAAAGCTTGGCAAGCAAAAAACTAAGTGATAGCAGTTTTAGATTAAGTGATAGGAACATCCATATTGCTATTGCCATTGTTGATATGAATGAGCTGTCCCAAGAAATCTCCTGACCTTGGGAAGCTTGGCTTAACCTCGACAGCTGAGACTAGAAGTTTAAATCATATGGGGTGGTAACTCTCTTCTTATTTCCATTTTCTTCTCACTTCTCACCCCCCGCTTTAATTTAACTATAGTTATTACTTAGTACTTAATGTCAAAACTGATTCTTCCTTTTTCATTTTATCTGTACATTGATAGTTTAGTATAGTGGTTAAGAGTGTGGGCTCAAAGGTCAGATTGCCTGGGTTTCAATCCTGTCTTTGTCATTTGCTCACTTTGAAATCTTAAGCAGTTTACATTGCACCTCTTTTCTCATCTATAAAATGAAGATAATATCTACCTCACTGGGTTGTCTTGAGGATAAATTAGATAGTCAGTGGAAAGTGATTGGCATAGTGTCTAGCACACAGTAAAGTACTCAATAATATCAGATACTGTTGTTGTTACTTCCAGCTCGGCAGCTTTGGTGCAACCTATCTGTTCTTTTGTCAGGAGGGAAAGCTGATGTAGATTAGGAGACTATCAAAAAGCCCTAGGTCTCCAGATAGAGAGTTGAAGCCAAATTGAAGGAAGCACTTGGAGGTCTAACTGGAAGACCTAACTACGATAACAATCTTATTTTTACAATTTATTGATTAAATGGTACATTCTTATTGGCTTTTACTTGCTGAATGACATGGACAATTAACCTCTCTTGGCTTCTTTTTACTCTTTTGGAAAATGAGTATTTTTGGATAGGATGATTCCTTCCATCTTTATCATTGCCTGATCTTTAGTTATTTAAGTAAAATTGAATATCAAAAAGTGTTTTATACTCAGTGTATGTGTGTGTGAGAGAGAGAAAGCAAGAGTAAGAGAAATAGTGAGTTAGTTTTTATTGAGATCAACCAAAATGATTTACTTGTATATTGGGTTTATCAGTTGACATATTTAGTTTCTTCTTATGAGATTATTATATCCCCTTTTGCACTCTACTGTCTAGATCCTTTCTAAGTTTTTGTTAATCTTATCTCACATCTGTTTTGGATTTTTCAAGAAAAGCTTTTAAGACATTATGATGTATATTCTGTAATACTTGTCTTGGAGTCAGGAAGCTTGGTTGGGGACACTGTTCCACTACCTACTTTGCAACATTACCTTGGGTAAATTACGTTCCCTCTTATGTGCCTCATTTCCTCATCTGTCTAATGAGGCATTTCTTCTATTTAACCTTTAAGTCCTTTCCTAACAGTCTATGATTCTATAATTATCACAGCATAAGTTGTGGCAGGAGTAGCTGAATTCCAAAGGGAAAACTTGATGTCGCCATTCCCTTTGAAACATATTTTTTATCTGTTGCCCATTATGTTTGCTGCAGGATTTCGGCTGAATGCCTCCTCTTGGCCTATGTTCCTTTTGAAGACACTAAATGGAGCAGAGATGGCTCCCATCAAGATTTTCCACAAGGTACGGTGCCCTCAGATATCACCAGCTCCAGAGTGCTTAAGGTTGAATGCTTACATTCTTTCAATTAGTGAGCCTCTGATATCTACATTATATTTATGGCCTGAGGATGCCTTCTCAGAAACTAGTTCAGCAGAAGGATTTTTTAGTACCTTATGAAGCAGCAGTTATCCTGGAGGAATATTAGACTATAAGTTAGGATTCCTGGTTTTTGGGTCTCAGCTCTGCCAATAATAAGCTATGTCCTTTTGACCTCATCTGTAAAGTAGGTTTCTGTCTACCTCACAGAGTTGTTAAGAAGTTAAAATGTGTTTATTAGTAAAACATAGAAAATGTAATATAAATCTAAAGGAGTGATTCTTATTATAGATCTTGGAGTCCCATAAGGACCATGTGCTAAACAGAGAGAAAGGAAGGAGACTATTTTTTGTGTGCCTACAGTATGTTTGGGGTTTATATATACTGTCTCATTTAATACCCACAGTTATGTTTATGAAGCAGGAATTATTATTTCCATTTAAAAGTTAAGGAAACAAATACTTTTGAATAAGGAACTTGCCCAAGATCACATGGCTAGTAAGTGGTGGAACAGGGGTCCAAAACCTGTATTCATTCTTCCTTGTTTTCTCAAGGCATGAGGCAATCAGTCTGCTCTCAGTTGAATTCTTTGATGAGGTTAGAGTTACTGTAAAGGGGACTAAATTAAGGTTGCCTATGCTGCTATTTAAGTCTAAATCCTGAGAGCACTCTGGTTCTCAGAATATAGTGTATTGGGCAACTTAAAAACCCGTTCACTACAGAATATCTCAAAATGGTGGCAGGGGTGGGGTGGACCAACAAATATTCTTTTAAATGCTTTACTGAGCTTACTAGAAAGTAAGAAAACTCTCCAGAGGCCAAAATGAAGAAGGAAAACCAGAGTGTTAAGTGTATGTACTGAACCTTCAGGTGCCTTAAGGGACTTTGCCAGTCTTACTTTCAAGGATCATGTCTTTTAACAGCCACAGTAGGATAGATAATGAGGCCTTAGGCTCATGCAAAGCAGGGAAATGGACCTGAGATTGCCACATAAAAAAACCAGATCAGATCCCTCAAATGTTTACTCCTTGGTGAAAAGACTATTACATTGATGAGGAAGACTCTCTGCCTGTGCTCTGGGTAGGGATGAATGGAGTCATCTCCTCTAATAAAACAGTCTTCCTGCATGGAAGTCCAGGGTTCAGATATAGTACCTGTGTTATGTAGGAACTCCAAAGTTGTATGGGTATATTTTTGAGTGCCTGGCAGAAGCAAACCCAAAACCTCTCTAGCGAGTTTGGTTGCTTTCAACCCAGATGTCATAGAAGTCTCAAAAGTGAAGTACCACTGAAGATGAGTACTCAGTTCAGAACTACAGAGGCCTCAAAAACTCTCAGAACAAATCCAATGTGACAGGACATCAGGACACACAACAAACAGTAAGATTATAACCCAAGGACTTTCAGATAATAGAAATATCAGATAGAGATTGTAAATCAAGCATTTGAAAATGATTAAAGAATGAAAAGAAGGAATTTTAAAAATGAGAAAAGTACAAAACCCTACTTTTTAAAAGACAGATTTGAAAAAAGCAAATTGAATATATAGAAATGAAACTTAACCATTAAAATTAAAAATTAGTAGGTAGGTGTATAGGTAACTTAGACATAGATAAAGAATTAACTGAAAGACGTGTGTAAAGAATTTCCCTAGAATGTAGCACAGAGAGATTAAAAAAATGGAAAATATTAAAGAGAAGGGGGCCAGCCCCGTGGCTTAGTGGTTGAGTGCGCACGCTCTGCTACTGGTGGCCTGGGGTTTGGATCCCGGGCACGCACCGACGCACTGCTTCTCTGGCCATGCTGAGGCCGTGTCCCACATACAGCAACTAGAAGGATGTGCAGCTATGACATACAACTATCTACTGGGGCTTTGGGGGAAAAATAAATAAATTTAAAAAAAAAGAGAAGAGACAAGGAGAGCAGTATTAGAAGGTCCAGTAAATGCTGAACATGAAATCCAGAAATGTGAATTAGAAAAAGTAGAAAAGAGTCAATATTTGAAAAGATAATGACAGAATTTTCCGGAGTGTGTAATAAAGACAAATACACACCTTAAAACGTCATGGTATAACAAAAGTTAAAAGAAAAGATGTGAGCAAGTAATCACATAAAATACCCTCAAAAAGATTACAGTTCGGTTGACAGCACATTTCTTGACAGCAACAACATAAGCCAAAAGATAATAGAATAATATTTCACAGTACCAAGAAAAATGGTTGTCTACCTAAAATTTTATATCTAGTTACACTATTATTTCAGAGTGAATATAAAAATCAAGATATTTTCAAACAAACTAATACAAGTAGATACTAATATATCTCCTGAAAGAACAACTGAAGAATATATTTCAGGAAGAAGATAAGTGAACCCAGAAAGGAAGAATGAAATGCAAGCAGTGGTGAGGAAACATTGGTTAACATGTGGGTAAAACTAATCAAGCACTGTCTACAACTGTATAAGCCAGTTACAGTAACAAAAGTAATTAATTGGCAATATGACAATGTGGAACTAAATTATCAAACACCTATTAGCTCAGGAGTAGTTAAAATATTTTAAAGTTCTTGTATTGTTTGGGACTAGAGATAAAGATGAGTTTTAGACTTAATTATGTCAACTATACAATTACAATCTTTAGGAGAGCCACTAAAATACTAGAAATAGAACGGTTAACATCTGAATCAATGCAGGGGGAAAAAGGGGAAAAATTCAGTTGACTGTAACGGAGAAAAAAGAACTTTGAAAAGAGATGTAGGCAATATGATAATTGTAATAAATTTAAATACATCAGTTATTAGAAATGAGTTTAAACTCATCAGTTTAATCAGACATGGATTAGATTGTTTTTAAATCTAGCTACATGCTGTTTACAAGAGACTGCTAAAATATGACACAAAAATGTTGAAAGTAAAAGAATATAAAAGATATACCAGGCAAACCTTTATCAAAATAAAGCAGGTGTTAACTATACTGAAATTAGACAAAGGAGACATGGATGCTAAAAAGCATTAAAAAAGTCAGTTTAGTGATTAAAAAAATACAGTTCACCAAGAAAATAAAAGTTATACATCCTCCTAAAAAACATAGCCTCTAACTATAAAAAGCAAAATTTGACAGAATTACATGGAAAAATTGGAAAATCCACAATCACTCGGGGATATTTTAATACACATTTCTCAATAATTGATAAATCAAGCAGATGAGAAAATTGGTGTATCAGTCAGCATCAGCTAATCAGTATTAAATCAGTTGATCAATTTTTAAAAATCAGTTGCATTCCTATTTAACAGCAACAAATGTTTTGAAAAATGAAATTTTTAAAAGATACCGTTTATGATAGCAATAAAATTATAATATGCCTAGAAAAACAATGTAAAAAGCATGAGATATTTATAGAGGAAATTTTAAAAATCTATATTAAAAAAGAAATCCGCATTAAAAAATACTTAAAAAATAGAAAATACTGTAACATGTTTATGGATGAGAAGGCTCAATATCATACATACAAAGGTTATTTCTTTCCAAATTAATCTGTAAATTCATTGGCATTTCAGTCAAAATGCAAATAGGATTTTTCTGTGGAACCTGAAAAGCTGATTCTAAAATTCACGTGGAAGGTCAAGGAGAAAGAATAGCCAAAACAAAATTGAAGAATGGCGAAGTAGGGAGACTTTTTCTACCAGATATTCATTTACTAAGCCTGTGTTATTGGCACGGGATCAGACAGCAAGAGGGGAACAGAATAGAGTGTAAAATACTTTTTTGGAAACTTTGTCTATGCAACTACATTGCAAATCAGCACCCAAGAACTTTCCACACTGCTGGAGAGAGTGTACAGTGTTACAACCACTTTGGAGGGCAATATAACAATATTTAATAAAGCAGAAGATGTTTATATCTATCCTGTGACCTAGCAATTCTGCTCCCTAAAAAAGTGGAGAATGGTTGTTCTATGCAGAATGGAAAAAGTATGGGCTTTGAAGTAAAAGAGACTTAGGCTTGAGTTCCAACTCTGCCTTTCACCAGCTGTGTGGTTTTGAGCACTTAGTTCACCTCTCTAAATATACCCTAAAGAAACTCTCCCACGTGTGTACAAAGGATCAAGTGCAAGAATGGTCATTAAAACTCTTTTGAAATAGTAAACAATTGGAAACAACCTTAAATGTCCATCAAAAGAAAATGAATAAATTGTGATATCCACATATACTAGAATACTATTAGCAGTTAAAATGAACTGGAGCTAAATTTATCAATGTGGATAAATTTCAAAAATATAATGTTGGAAAAAAATAAGTTGTGGAATGATGTGTATAGTCATGCGTAGTTTAACGACAGGGGTACGTTCTGAGAAATGTGTTGTTAGGCGATTTCGTTGTGCGAACATCACAGAGTATACTTACACAAACCTAGATGCTATAGCCTACTACACACCTAGGCTATATCGTACTAATCTTATGGGACCACCGTCATATTTGAGATCCATCATTGACAGAGACTTCATTATGTGGTGCATGACTGTACAGTGTAAATACCATTTATATAAAATTTAAAAGTATGCAAAAAGATATGTACCTATATAGTAAAGTATAAAAACATGCATGGGAAATGGGATAAGGGAAGAGCACAAAGGGGGATTCAACTTTGTTACATTTTATTTCTTTAAAAAAAAAAAAGATCTGAAGTAAAGATGTCAAAATGTTAGGATTACAAAGTAATACTTTGGTGTACTTTGAGATCCATTTCAAAGAAAGACTAAATCTCCGCTGTAAATCTTATTATATAGCAGTCACTTTTTAATCATCCGAATGAGGTAGCAGTCTTCTGGCATATATAGCCTCTCTCTTTGCGTCTAGGTCTGTAATATTTCTGTTTCTCATCTAGGAACCACCATCACCTTCCCACAACTTCTTCAAAATGGGAATGAAGCTAGAAGCTGTGGACAGGAAGAACCCTCATTTCATTTGCCCAGCCACTATTGGGGAGGTGCGGGGCTCAGAAGTGCTTGTCACTTTTGATGGATGGCGAGGGGCCTTTGACTACTGGTGCCGCTTCGACTCCCGGGACATCTTCCCTGTGGGCTGGTGTTCCTTGACTGGAGACAACCTACAGCCACCTGGTACTAAAGGTAAAGGCCTACCTATGAGCTCTTGAATCAGAACCCAAGGTGATAAGGGAGATTACCTAGGTCTCTCATCATCAGCATATATTCATCAGTAAACCTCACTAGTAGGCAGAAGAGGAGCAAGAGCCAGCAACTTAGGTAAAAGCCAAGGTGTACCCAAAAGTAATCAGAAACAGTAAGAATAAAATGTCAAATAAAGCTAGATGTAGAGTTTGTGATAAAGTAAAAATTCCTTGCTCTACTAATGTCTTGGTTTATTCTCAGGCAACTTGCTTCTCATCTCCCTTAACTTTTGTTCCTAACCCATTTCAGAGTTTGAGTAGTATCATTCTCAAGGTGCACATCTTCCTCAGGTCTTAGGGGCTTTTTATGTGAGCTGGAGTAACATTGTGTTATAAAAATACTTGAGAAGCACTGTAGCAGAATGGAAAAAGCATGGGCTTTGAAGTAAGAGACTTAGGTTTGAGTTCCAGCTCTGCCTTTCACCAGCTGTGTGGCTTTGGGCACTTAGTTCACCTCTCTAAACCTCAAATTCCTCGTCTGTAAAAGAATACCTACTTCGTAAAGTTATTGTTAGAAATAAATGAGATTACATGGGTAAAATGCTTACATAATATCTGGCAAATACCAAGTGCTAAACAAATGTTTTATTGTATTACTGCTGCTATTATTATATACTATATTATATTTATTATAATTACTAAATACTACTACTATATAATATATAATATGCTATATTATCATTATTATAATGCTATTATTATAAAAGTAACCACTACCGATGGGAGAGTATATATAAAGTACTAGAATAGTATCACAGAGTAATTCAACAGTAAGTGATATTTCTAATGATGATGATGTTGGAGATCATCCAGGATAGAGTTTGAGATAGCTGCTCTTAATAAAGGAAATAATGTGAATCTCATCCCCCTAAGTCTAAAAATAGTGATGAATCTGAGGGAATAGAAAGTCACCCTTCCTATTGTCTGTGGATCGCTTTTCTGAACCTCTGTTGAATTCATTCATTCAATTAGCCAAATACTTATTGAGCACCTAATTGTGAGCCAGGCCGAGGATACAGTAGTTACAAAGACAGACAACATTCCTGCCCTCATGGCACTTCCATTCTGGTGGGATGAGATAGTTGGTAAATATTTAAATCAAGAAATAAACAAGGTGATTTCAGATAGACAGTTTCTCCTAAGGAAATAAAGAATGTTAAGAGAGTGACAGTGGAGGTGTGATTGTGAAGGGTGTTTTTTGTTTAACAGTTTTATTGAAATATAATTAAAGTAAAATAAATGGCTCATTTTTAAAGTATACAGTTTGAAAAGTTTAGAGCTATGTATGCATCCATGAAACCATTACCACAATCAAGATGATGAGCATATCCATCATCCCAAAAAGTTTCCTTGTTCCACTTTTTGGAGGAGGAGCTTCTTTAGATACACTTTCTTTTCAGGAAAATTTATCTGAAAAGGTGATATTTAAATTGAATGACGGGAAGGAGCCATTCAAGAAAAGACAGTTCCAGGGGGTTCGCAGGTTCAGATCCCGGGCGCGTATCTACCCACCACTTATCAAGCCATGCTGTGGCAGGCGTCCCACATATAAAGTGGAGGAAGATGGGCACAGATGTTAGCCCAGGGCCAATCTTCCTCAGCAAAAAGAGGAGGATTGGCAACAGATGTTAGCTCAGGGCTAATCTTCCTCACCAAAAAAATAGTAATAATAATAACAGTAATAATTTAAAAAAAAAAAGAAAAGAGAATTCCAGGTAGGCAGATGGGACATACATACAATGGTGCTGAGAATGACTGCTCAACTACAATGCACTGTTTGAGGGGGAAAGTGGCAAAGTCATGTAGAACCTTGTAAGCCAGAGTGAGAATTTGGATTTTATTCTAAACATAGTGGGGAATCATTAGAGGGTACTATGCAGGGGAGTGACATAATCTGGTTTACTTTTAAAAAATCACTTATATCCAGAATATAAAAGAACACTTACAACTCAACAATAAAAAAGACAAATAACCCAGTTAAAAAATGGGTAAAGGATTTGAATAGATATTTCTCCAGAGAAGATACACAAATGGCCAATAAGCATTTGGAAAAGATGCTCAACATCGTTAGTCATTAGGGAAATGCAAATCGAAACCACAATGAGCTATCACTTCACATCCATACAGGGTATGGCTATAATCAAAAGACAGACAATAATGAGTGTTGGTGAGAATGCTGGAGAAATTGGAACTCTCATACATTGCTAGTAAGATTGTAAAATGCTGCAGCCACTTTGGAAACAGTTTGGAAGTTACTCAAAATATTAAACATAGAGTTACCTGTGACCCAGCAATTCCATTCATGGGTATATACCTAAAAGAATAGAAAACGTACATCTATACAAAAACATATCGTGAATGCTCATGGCAGCATTACTCATAATAGCCAAAAAGTTGAAATAACCCAAATGTTCATCATCTGATGAATAGATAAGTAAAATGTCGTATACCCATAGGAAATACTATTTGGCAATAAAAAGGAATGAAGTACTGATATATGCTACAACATAGAGGTACCTTAAAAACATGCTAAGTGAAAAAAGCCAGTCACAAAAGACCACACATTGTATGACTGCATTTATGTCCAGAGTAAGCAGAAACATAGAGGCAAAAGTAGATTAGTGGTTGTCAGGGGCTGGGGGAGAGGGGAAATGGGAAGTGACTGCTAATGGGTATGGGGTTTCTTTTGGGGATGATGAATATGTTCTAAATTAAATAGTGACGATGTTTGCACAACTCTTTGAGTCTACTAAAAATGCTGAATTGTACACTTTAAAAGGGTGAATTTTATGGTATGTAAATTATATGTCAATCAATCTTTTATTTAAAGAATCACTTGTGCTGCTCTATGGAGAATGGGTTGTGCCATGTTAACTCTGGACAAGGAAGAGATGGGGGTTGTTTGGATTAGGTTGGTGGCACTGAGGTGGAAAGAACTTGAGATGGGGGGTAGGTGGGTAGAGAGAGACACTTCTTGCCTCAGGAAAGTGCTGCTCCTCTGTATGCTTCCAGAAACAAATGCCCCGGGGTCGGTATGAGAAATCCATTGGCATCCCTCTGCAAGCCCTGTCAGATACTATCTCTGTGGAAGCAGCCAGAAGAGAAGTGCCTTGGAAGTGGTAGTAGAGTCATTTTCATTAACTTGAGACTAAAACAGGATAAGCCTTGGTGCTCCAGGCTATATTCAGTTAGTAGCTTGATTTTCTCACTTTCTTGCCTAGAGAACTCGGTTATTTTGATTGGCAAATCTGTTATAGCAGTTAGGCATTTCTCAAGAGCCAGAAGAGCTAAGAGTCTTTGTGTCCAGGAATTGCTGGACATGCATTCGTTTCTGACTGCACACCATGCTGATAAGAAGTATGACTCACTATGTGGTTGATGCTTCCAGAGGTGTTTGCTAACTGTTTTCATCTCCTCTTCTGTGTCTCTCTGGAGGTCTTAGATTTTTAACAGAATATGACCAGAAGGACCAGGCTCAGAAGGTAGAGAGAGACCTTATTCCAGTTGGCATTTCCAGACCAGGTCCTTCGGTCATCTTTCCAGAAGCCAGGTTGTTTCCCCCCACAACTGCCTCCTCCCCCACCTCATACCCTCAGTAGGTTCTGTAATGTAGCTTTCAGTAATAGCAGAACTTCAGCCATCTCAGTGTCCTGGCTAAGGAGCAAGTGATACAGTGTGGAAAAAATGTGGTTACTCAATTCATTTCACAAAACAAGATGTTCTCTGTGTGTAAGCCTGTTCTCTTTCTAATCATACTGTCTCCTTCTTCCTTCCTACCTTCTGATCATTAGCGTGCAGATGTTAAAAAATTTGAAGTAATCATGAGATGGTTTCTTGCGCGCAGTAAGTAGGAAAAAATACCAATATTCATTTAATATTCTTTTACACGTGTTATTTCATTTTGTCTTCCTGGTAACTCTGAACTAGGTATAATTATTTTCAGAGACATTTTGTTTATGAGAAAAGTGAAGTTCAGAGGATTAAGTGACTTGGTTCTGTTGATACCTGAGTCTAGAGGGAGAAGACAGAGAGATCTTTTAGTAGGGCCAGCTGTCAGGGCCATCACTTTGAGCCATATTGCCTTTACATGGCTCCCCTCTACTCTCCCCATTCTCCTTTGGGTTCTCTTCAAAGCTTCGTTTGAGACCCTGGATTTTGGCTTCCAGATCCTGATATGAATAGGAGAGAAGCAATGTAGTGTAATATCAGAGCATTGAACTGGGATCTCGTCTCAACTGGACCACAGATTTGTTTTATGTCTTTGAGCAAGTCATTCCTAATGTGAGAAGTTGAACTAGATGATCCTTAAGGGCCCTTCCATCTCTGTAATACTATATAGGTTCCTAATCTAGGGGGTGGATAACAAGTGACTCCTGTAACTGTCTCCTGCTTGATTCCAGATCCATCAGCTCACCTACCACCTAGCTCTGCCCCCGACACATGTGGGGCTTTGCCTTTCTAAGGGGACTCATGTGTGCCAGCTGTTTCTCCTTTGCTAAGCCAGTAGTACTCTTTTTAGCTCCTGAACTCCTGGGCCAAGCCAACTCTGATGGGTAGCAAATTACCAAGCTTACAACCAATCCAGGGTACTTGGTTATAAAAGGCAGAAGCTTTTTTTTTAAACTCATCACTTTTTTTGTGTGACTTAAAACTGAAACAGGGGCGCTTCGTTTTTAGGTTTAGAAGACCAGATAAAGAGTTCTTTCCACTTGGCATGACTATAATGCTAATTAGGCCTTTAGCCATTATAATAATCCACTTAACTCCCCCCTGCTCTGATTTCAGGCTGGGCAAGCAGGTTTCAGATTATAGTTTAGCTGCTTATGTAATTTTACAACAGGAAAAGAACATGAGAGCCAAGCTACTTCATATTTATATTTTTATTATAAATTAATATATTGCTGTTCTGGATTGTATATCAGTCTCTTGTGACTTCATATA